CCCTAGGTCTGAAGTAGGTCTCTTGTAGACAGCATACATACGGGTCTTGTTTTTGTATCCATTCAGCTAGTCTGTGTCCTTTGGCGGGAGCATTTAATCCATTTCCATTTAAGGTAGTTATCAATATGTATGTTCCTATTACCATTTTCTTAAATGTTTTGGGTTTGTTATTGCAGGTCTTTTCCTTCTCTTGTGTTTCCTGCCTAGAGAAGTTCCTTTAGCATTTGTTGTAGAGCTGGTTTGGTGGTGCTGAATTCTCTTAGCTTTTGCTTGCCTGTAAAGGTTTTAACTTCTCCATCAAATCTGAATGAGATCCTTGCTGGGTAGAGTAGTCTTGGTTGTAGGTGCTTCCCTTTCATCACTTTAAATATATCGTGCCATTCCCTTCTGGCGTGCAGAGTTTCTGCTGCAAGATCAGCTGTTAACCTTATGGGGATTCCCTTGTATGTTAGTTATTGCTTTTCCCTTGCTACAATTTAATGGTAGTTAATTTTTGATAGTTTGATTAATATGTGTCTTGGCATGTTTCTGCTTGGATTTATCCTGTATGGGACTCTCTGCACTTCCTGGACTTGTTTCACTATTTCCTTTCCCATATTAGGGAAGTTTTCAACTCTAATCTCTTCAAATATTTTCTCAGTCCCTTTCTTTTCCTGTTCTTCTTCTGGGACCCCTATAATTCGAATGTTGGTGTGTTTAACGTTGTCCCAGAGGTCTCTGAGACTGTCCGCAATTCTTTTCATTCTTTTTTAAAATTCTGCTCTGCAGTAGTTATTTCCATTATTTTATCTTCCAGGTCACTTACCCGTTCCTCTGCCTCAGTTATTCTGCTATTGATTCCTTCTAGAGAATTTTTAATTTCATTTATTGTGTTGTTCATCATTGTTTGTTTGCTCTCTAGTTCTTCTAGGTCCTTGTTAAACGTTTGTTGTATTTTGTCCATTCTATTTCCAAGATTTTGGATCACCTTTACTATCATTACTCTGAATTCTTTTTCAGGTGGACTGCCTATTTCCTCTTCATTTGTTTGGTCTGGTGGGTTTTTGCCTTGCTCCTTCATCTGCTGTGTGTTTCTCTGTCTTCTCATTTTGCTTAACTTACTGTGTCTGGGTCTCCTTTTCACAGGCTGCAGGTCTGTAGTTCTCGTTGTTTTTGGTGTCTGCTCCCAGTGGGTGAGGTTGATTCAGTGGGTTGTGTAGGCTTCCTGGGGGAGGGGACTAGTGTCTGTGTTCTGGTGGATGAGGCTGGATCTTGTGTTTCTGGTGGGCAGAACTGTGTCCAGTGGTGTGTTTTGGGGTGTCTGTGACCTTATTATGATTTTAGGCAGCCTCTCTGCTAATGGTGGGGTTATGTTCCTGTCTTGCTAGCTGTTTGGCATAGTGTGTCCAGCACTGTAGCCTGCTGGTCATTGAGTGGAGCTTGGTGTTAGCATTGAGATGGGGATCTCTGGGAGAGCTCTCGCCATTTGATATTACGTGGGGCCGGGAGGTCTCTGGTGGGCCAGTGTCCTGGACTCTGCTCTCCCACCTCAGAGGCTCAGATCTGACACCGGCTAGAGCACCAAGACCCTGTCAGCCACATGGCTCAGAAAAAAAGGGAGGAAAACAAGAAAGAAAGAAAGAAAGAAAATAAAGAAAGAAAGTTATTAAAATAGAAAAAATTATTAAAAATAAAGAAATAAAAAAGTAATTAAAAAAAGAGAGAGAAAGAAAGAAGAGAGCAACCAAACCAAAAAACACATCCACCAATGATAAGCAGAGCTAAAAACTATACTAAAAAACAAACAAACAAAAAAACTGGACAGCCAGAACCCTAGGACAAATGGCAAATGCAAAGCTATACAGACAAAATCACACAAAGAAGCACACACATACACACTCACAAAAAGAGAAAAAGGAAAAATATATACATTAAAAAAAAAAAAAAGGAAGAGAGCAACCAAATCAATAAACAAATCTAACAATGATAATAAGCTCTAAATACTAAACTACAATAAACATAAAACCAGAAACAAATTAGATGCAGAAAGCAAACCCCAAGGCTACAGTTGCTCCCAAAGTCCACCATCTCAATTTTGGGATGATTCGTTGTCTACTCAGGTCTTCCACAGATGCAGGGTACATCAAGTTGACCGTGGAGATTTTATCCGCTGCTCCTGAAGCTGATGGGAGAGATTTCCCTTTCTCTTCTTTGTTTGCACAGCTCCTGGGGGTCAGCTTTGGATTTGGCCCCACCTCTGTGCGTAGGTTGCCTGAGGGCGTCTTTTGGGAAGTCTGAGGTCTTATGCCAGCATTCAGTAGGTGCTCCGTAGGAGTTGCTCCACACGTAGATATAGTTTTGATGTATTTGTGGGGAGGAAGGTGATCTCCACGTCTTACTCCTCCACCATCTTGAAGGCCTGCCCAACTATTTTTCTTTTTGTTCTTTTTCTTTCCCCTGAGGACCTTGGCGCTGACCACATCATGCACTCAGGCCGTCACATGCCTGGGCACCCCAGCTCTGCTTACTCTCAAGAAGACTCTGGCTTCACTTAATCTTCTGGGAGTGTGTTATTTAATCTCTCCATATCTCAGTTTGCTCATCTCTAAAATGGGAATAATAGTAGTAGCTACCTCAGAAGGGGTTTTGAGGATTAAATGAGTGGATATACATAAAGTACTGAGACTTGTACCTGGCGTGTAATACACAATTAATAAGCTTTAGCTATTTTTATTAACTCTACAGTTTTATGTATTTGCACATATTACTCTCTTTATCTGGGGTGCCTCTCCACTTTCCAATCCCACCTCCTTTTCACTGATTCTATTTCATCTTTCAAGACGAAGACCAAGCTTGCCATTCTTTTTTTTTTTTTTTTTTTTTTTTTTTGTGGTATGTGGCCCTCTCACTCTTGTGGCCTCTCCCGTTGCGGAGCACAGGCTCCGGATGCACAGGCTCAGTGGCCACGGCTCACGGGCCCAGCCGCTCCACGGCATGTGGGATCTTCCTGGACCAGGGCATGAACCCATGTCCCCTGCATCGGCAGGTGGACTCTCGACCACTGTGCCTCCAGGGAAGCCCCAAGCTTGCCATTCTTGTGAAGACTTCCATGGTTTTCTGACAAGGCCCTTTTACATACAACTCTATACCAATCGGTGTTGCTGCATACTGAATTTGTAATTTACACTTATGCACCTATTTACATATGCTCCATAAGGGTAAGAGCTGTTTCCTCTTGTTTACATAGTCCCTGGCTTTTACCACTGTACCTGGCACATGGTAGTCTCCCACTAAGCACTTGTCTAATGAATGAACGAATGAATGAGTGAATGAATAAATGAACACCTTTCCTTCCAGGGAGAAAAAGGCCTGTATGCCTTGAACACAGGTTTTTGAGTCTTCGAATACTTATTGCTAGCCTGGTGCTTGGCGTGTGCTCAAAAATGCTTTCTGAACTGATTGGAAATGCATTTAATTCTAATCAGATGATAATTATCTTTGGAGGATCCTTTAGACCTTAAAACCATGATCCATACTCTATATTTGTTAAAGGTTTAAGTTCGAGCTTTCCTCAAAATATACTCAGAAGTCTGGGGACCAAACAAGAAGGAAATTGCCAAAGCCAGAAAACATTTAAGGGCTTTCCTCTCGTGAAACTTCTAGCAATGGCCCCTGTTTAGCCACCTTTGCGTGCATCCTGCCTCATCATGTGATACATACAAGAACAACACGGACACAACTCCTCTCTGCCTTGGCCGAGAAACATTCATCAAAGAACACAAACTTCTCAATAGGGCAGAAAACAGGAAAAAGAAATGAAAAACAAAGAGGAAGATAAGTTTGCTTCAGTCACTGTGTTTTTTAAAAAAGCGCATGAGGCCAAATCACTGGAATCCTGAAACCAAAGATGAAATGAAGCTCCACAGCAAACCAGGGTTCTGTTCCCTCAAAACTTATGCCTTTACAGAAATTCTCCTCTATAGAGGTCAACATCTAGTGGGCATGAGATGTAGTTAGACAGCACAAATTAACTCCTTAAGTATTACCGCAACTCCACATCAGTCTTTGGGAGTACATACATTAAGGAGCTATTAAAAAACAAAAACAGAAACAAAAACTAAATATAACTCAACAGTCCTGATGGTTTATAATGCATATACAATTGGTTCACCTGCATCCTTTTGATTCTCTATTTGAAAGAGAAAGCACGACAAGGAGAGAAGAGAGAGAGAAACAAGAACACATGCAAGGATTAATGAGCAAGTGAACCAAAATGCCCCCCACTTATGTGTGATACATGATATTGGAAGGAAAAAGTTGCCCTTGAGTTCCCACCGCCCAGAAGTGTGGGGTCAATGCTGCACAAATAGAAAATTAGTCAAATTAAGTTTAATGTGAAATCAAGCTGTGACACATACATGAACTCTCCAAGTGACAACTAAGTCATATGTTCTAGCCAGAGCTTAGAGGACGAGGACAACTCCAAATCTCCAGAAAGAACAAGAAAAAGCTTCCCAGTTTGCGAGAACAGACAGGAGGCATATAAGATCTAACTTTTACAGAGAATGGACCACCCTGTGTGATCTACCCACAACAGTTTGATATCTTAAACATGGAAAAGAAAGCACGGTTTTGCCCCAACTGTCCTTTATCTGACACCTAACACATTGCTCCCCACCTAGCTGCTACGTTTTGATTGTGTACCAGTGACAAGCACTTTACAAATTGGGGTTACACACAAGCAAAGTAAAAATGCATTCAGGTCACAGACAGAGAATAACTGAAAAACTTACAGACAAATCTGAGTTTATCACAAACAAATGGCTTAATTGTCTAACCTGTGTTAGGCTGATAAAAGTGACTGGACTTCTCACACTGGGTTTCACAGACAGAATCAACAGACAAGCCAATGCTAAAAAACTTGAAGCAAGGAGAGTGAGTTGGTTTGGATCTGAATTTTCTTGAAATAATGAAAACAGAAAGAGTGAAGACAGCATGGCGAGGAGGTGGTAGGTACTCACGAATGGTTAAATCCATCACTTGGGAGGCCAAGCAGAAGACAGGATGCTCATACATTTCTCTCTTTTTCCCTATAAAAGAGGATTTGGGCATGCAAGAGGCTTAGGTCAGAGGTCAAGAGGTTATAGGTCATAGGTTAGAGGAAAACGTTACATTAGCTCAAAGGAAAATAGCCACAGAATATTTTGGCATAAACACAGGATAAAAGAAAAAGGAGTTTCAAAATTGGAGATCTACTGGATTAACCATTCAGCATGCCGTGAGTCACGAGAGAGATTGTGACCATGATTTTACACGTCTCTTTAGAATTATTTGCAAGAATACAATGACCGAAAACATCATGAATAAAGGGAAACAGAATTTCATTGATTGAAGGCTCCAAGATACTAAGGATTTCAGACTTTAGTATCTAAGGCTCTTGAGGTATTTCTTCATAAACATAGTCTCCAGCAATATTACTACAACTTCTTTCCAACATTCTCAGGGGACTAAGCTGTTAATGGTCACAGAGAATCTCAAATGTCAAAATGCAAGATTTCTTTGCCGGGGGTAGGATCAGAACCTTGTAAAAGAAAGTTGTCTGGTAGTAATATATTTAAAGCTGCCATGTCTCAGCCTACGGTGGACTATGTTCATGAAAGAAAACCTGATACATGCAGCCAGAGGATGTTGGGTTGTCTGAATTAACAATCCCAGCATGCTTTGAAATTGGTGTCACAGCCACTTTTGCAGGGTTAACGTCAAAAAGTGGCTGAGCCAATCACGGACAAGGAAGGAGAGAAGCGGAAGAGAGCAGGTAGTGTGGAATGAGGTACTTCTCTGAAAAGAGAGTTGGAAAAACAAGATTGGTTTCTTCAAAGAATCCCCAGCCCTAAAAGTCACAGTGCGAAAGATAATTAACACAACCAAGAAGAATTGAGGCACAAAAGGAAATTACAGACCAGCTGATCTACTTCAGAAATGAATGCATTTTTACTTACAGATCTTAAAGTTTGTTTTTGGATATATTTATCTGAAAGAAGAGAGCAGATCTTACCAAAAGACTAGTCATAGCTAGACCAAGACCTACACATGAGGCAGCAGACGTGGCAACAGAACGTTTCTTGATCCCATCCCATCCCTGGCCTGGCCTAGAATTACTAGGTACCCGGTTGACTTTAACAAATACAACCAATCATTATGTCCTGGGAAGGTAAATGCTGGAATCATTATTTGCTAATATAGCCCTTTAACGATCTCCTTGTTCCTCTATTTTTGTCACTCATTACCAAGTCAAGAGTTGATAAACATCCTTTTAGTGCCCAATTCTTAAGTGTTTCTCCCTGGATGCATAACAACGAATTCATTACCACTGGTACACAATTTGCATTGTCAGACGGACAAAACTGAGAGAGGGAGGACATGGAATGTACAGAACACTGCGGATTTGACATGACCTTAACCTAATTCTCTAAGGAAACAAGGACTTTGGCAGGGTAAGTGATGGGGTTTTGGTAGTTGATTAGGTCTCTCTTATTTTTTCTTTTCCCAGTCATGTCCTGAAGGCAGACTATGGGTATTTGCTGGTTTTGTTTGGGTGTTTCACACGAGAGAACATCAGATTCCAGAATGCAGACACATTGAGTTTTGCACACAGAACTTCCACATTTATACACTTACACCACGGTCAAAGTTGGGTGTGGTTTTCAAATCACCCTATAGCAGCCAACAGGGTAACAATGAAAAGTGATTAATACCTTTGCAAATGAACAGGTCCCAAAGAACCATATCTTCTCAAGTAGAGTGGACTCAAAGTGCCTTTGGGCGATTGCTTGGTCATTAGTGACCACTTCCCTAAAACTTGAGAGGGCAGTGATAACAACCATCCTAGGTTTGGAGTAACAAGACTGAATAAGATCTAAAGCAAACCAGGAGCCATCGGAGACAGCCGAATACTAACCCGCCATCAAGTTTGAAAAGCTACCGAGACACAAGATATGTTCAAGAGACCAGAAAGAGTTAGGCAAAATCTTGATGTTGCTTTATTCAATTCCTGTTTTACTTCCAATGCTATCAACGGTGGACCACAAACTGTTTAGTTTCCCTCTATTTAAAGAAGGTAGCCACCCTACAGAACTCTTTCATAGAATAACATTAGCCACAGAGCAAAGTCAGGGCCAACACAGCCTCTTGGAAGGACCTTAGTTGTCTGATAACAACCTATATTCAAAATCCTTCCCTACAAAGACCATTTCCTGAGTCCCTGTGCCTTCAATCATTTATGTGGCCACAGCTGAGGAAGCTATCCCATTTCAAGTGCTTTCAAGTTTCAGCTTAACGTACAGAGATGGGCCACTGTTTTCTGGTGCCCATCAGAAAAGAGAGAGACTTGCCTAGGGAGGCATACCAAAATTTAAATTAAAAATCGGGGGCGGAAGGGGGCCTTACCTTCGATTTTGGCATACTCTGACAGCCGAGAATAGTTGACTAAAGCAGCCTGCTCTAGACATTTACGGATGACTGTTTTTACCTCCTCTTGTGGTACTGGGGTAACAATATCTTTCATCAAGACCTATAGGTGGAAAAACTACGTTCTTAAGATGGTTCAACGAAATGTGTTACTCATTTACGTTTAAAGAATTCAGTTTAAAATTAGTTGTGAATGCCTCTTTGCAACTTAACATGGATTGAGCGCCATTGTTAAAGAGAAAATAAAAAATTCCAGTGCACAGTTAGGATGTCAAAGCCTGTCCATGAATCATGGAAGGGCAAGGAGCGTATCTTCAGTATATCCTAACTATTTGAGAGTCTGGAGATAAAATATCTAGAATTTTGGCAATTTCTTCATATTTATTCTGGTATTTGATGAATGGTAAACAAATCCTTTAGAAATGACAATCTAGGCCATTCAACCACAATATTTAATTACCATGATGTTTATGTCTCTGTGTATATATCATTTGTCTTTTACTTTCATTCTTACCCTTTCCAAGAGTGAGAGGGTAGCTTTCAAAGCACCTTCAGGTCGACCAAATGGAAAGCAATACCTAAAAAAGACAGAAAAATGTTCAGGTTGCCTGAATCAATTGCATTTTAGAATGAAATATGCTGTAACTTGATTCCTATGGCAACTCTCTCTCAGGAACAGAAAATGCTTTTTATTTTGTCACGTTGTGTTATGCTAATCTGAATTCACACCATATATGTGTGTATATAATGTATATATGTGTATGTGTGAATAATGACTAAAGAGAGACTCTGCAAACGTCTGCAGCAGAAAAGAATATTTCCAGTGATGACATAAGGCTCTGTTTAGATTTCTGTGGTGAAGGAGAACCATTTGTTAGCTCAAATGTGACCTTATATGTAATTATTGAGACCAGACCGGCATTAAACAATATTAGTTGAAACAGGCTAAAATTCAAACACACTTACCTAAATCCCCAGAGGATTAATATAGGAAATACAGGAGTGTATTTTGAGCAAATTCATGATTCTACTAATTGTCCTTCCTTGACTGTAGTTTTTAATTGTTATTTGATCTTTTGCTATTGGCAATGTATCTAGCATAAAGTGTATGACCAGTAAAGACTTATCCAGGAGGTTTTTGATGGCACAGATGGTACCTATGTCAGGTACCACTAAGAGTTCTAGTAACCATTTCAGGCTGTCATAAGCCTTTCAAGACACTCTTCCTCATGGTACAAAAGGAACAGGATGGGCTACTGAAACCCAGGCTATCCTATGTATGTATGCCATTTCTCCCACTTGCTGGCTGAGGGGCCTGGGGCAAGTTACTTAACTTCTCTCAACCTCGGTTTACTCCTTGTTTCAATGAGAATTACAATAACTACCTTACAAATTGTCCTGAGAATAAAAAAAAAATGAGTTCATGCTTATCCAGCCTCTAGTTCCCTATGTAGTGCACAGGAAGCAGTTAATAAATAGGAACTATTTACTATGCTATTATAAATGCTCTTACTATTGATGAGCTCCTATTCTCAGATCTCTGGTTCAGAACCACCAGTGCAGCATTAAAAATATCTAATTGACTCTAAGGGAAAAGTGGGCTGTGTGGTGCAAGGCTCAAGCCCAGACCCGCGAGCTGTCTCGAGAGTGTGGGGAAGTGCATGATCAGTCTGTCAAGGATGAACCAAGATTCTTTCTTTCCCCACATAGCCCACTAGTCCTATTTTCAGGTAATGGAGAAGGTGGGGATGCTCTTCTGGCTACCACCGCCTTCCTTCCCTATGGGAACTGATTCACAGGAGTTTTCACTGTTGTATTTAAAAACCTTGAAGAAGCGTCATATTCAACATTTTAGTAGATTTTTTAGATAGATTGACGACCAGGGTCAGCTTACACAAAGAGGGCTTTGTTCTTTCCGTGGAAATAAAATGAACTTAAGATTTCAAAGTCTCCTGGATATTGGGGAACACTGCCTTGGTTGGCTTTTTCATTCAGCTATTTCTTTTTTTTTTTTTTTTTTTTTATAATTGACAGTATATTAGTTTCAGGAGTACAACGTAATGAGTCTATATTTTTCAAAACGATCACCACAGTAAGTCGAGTTAACATCCATCCGCATACATAGTTACACATTTTTTTTTCTGGTGATGAGGAATTTTAAGAACTCCTCTCTTAGCAGCTTTCAAATATGCTAACGGTATTGTTAACTATAGTCGCCATGCTGTACATTACATCCCCACGACTTATTTATTTTATAACTAGAAATTTGGACCTTTTGACCCCCTTCAACCAATCCATCCCCCTCCCAGACCCCACGTCTGGCAACCAGTAATGTGTTCTCTGTATCTATGAGGTGTTTTTTTTACCTTTATCATTATTTTTTAATTTAGTTTTTATTTTATGTTGGAGTAGAGTTGATTTACAATGTTGTGTTAGTTTCGGGTGTATAGCAAACTGATTCAGTTATATATATATATATATATATATATATATATATATATATATTACACATATTCTTTCTCAGATTCTTTTCACTTATAAGTTATTAAAAAATATTGAGTATAGTTCTCTGTGCTATCCAGTAGATCCTCATTCAGCTATTTCTAATATTTAGTGTGTCTCTGATAGATTTACAGTTTTAGAAAATCAAGCCCTTAATTTGCCCCTCCCCACTCTCATCCTCCTAAAAAGCCCTTTAACCCCAGATCCTTACCTAAAATGTGTAATCTGATTTTCCAACAGAACTCGGAGTCTCTCTTTGATTTCTTCAAAACGTTCCTTTTCTTCAACAGTCACAGTTCCAATTCCATCAGGCCTGAAAGAAGACATGTCATGAGGTGACGGGAACCTCATATGCTGACACCATCAAATCAGACCTCTAGCAGGAGGAAACTGTCCATTTTAGAAGAACAACTACAGTGATCGATGTGACTTTAGGAGAAGTCCTGCTTTTCAGCGCCAGCGACTAGAGGGGATGGGGTATTTTGAGGTTATCATTTGGAGACATTTGCAGAACTGTCGCTCATTTATTGTGAAATGGTGAAATGTACAAAGGGGTGGCTTGCAGATTAAAGCCAACCTCTAGACCTGCTCTGTTTGGCTCACAGCCTTTTGAAATTTTGAACTGCTTGCCAACATTTTTTACATTAGAAAAGCTTTATGATACAGTTCTCTTGCAAATTTGGAACAGCTGGCATTAATTGGAGAGGGGCAACAAACAGCTTCTTCCTTAGCTGCGGCGGGCACTCTCCTGGTCCATAGCTCTAATTTACATTACCTGTCTCTCTTGTCGGCACTTATGTTTGGGACTCCTGAACTATGCACACAAACTCCTATGAAAACCAGGAGTCCTGTAAGTGTCTATATTTCCCAGAGGTAAATGCTGTTAAATGACTCACTTTCCAGCTTATAACTACAGATGTTCAGATTAATTTCACCACTCATGTACTAACCAAAGAACAAATTACAAGACATTGTACAAATTACAAGACCTTGATGAAAGAAATTGAAGAAAGCTCAAATAAATGGAAAGATATCTTGTGTACATGGATTAGAAGAATTAACAGAGTTAACATGTCTGTACTACCCAAAGCCACCTATAAATTCTATGCAATCCCTATCAAAATTCCACTGGGATGTTTTCCACAGAAATAGGAAAAAAAAAAAAAAATCCTAAAATATGTAAGGAATCACAAAAGCCCCAAATAACCAAAGGAATCCTGAGAAAGAACAAAGTTGGAGGCATCACAATTCCTGAATTCAAACTATATTACAAAGCTGTAGTTATCAAAACAGTATGGTACTGGCATAAAAACAAACATATAGACCAATGGAACAGAGTTGAGAGCCCAGAAATAAACCCTTGCATGTATGGTCAACTAATATTTGACAAGGGAGCCAAGAATACTCAATGGGGAAAGGATAGTTTCCTCAATAAGTGGCAATGGGAAAACTGGATATCCACATGCAAAAGAATGAAATTGGATCCTTATCTTAGAACATTCACAAAAAAGAACTCAAAATGGATTAAAGACTTAAATGTAAGACCTGAAGCTGTAAAAATCCTAGAAGGAAATATAGAGGAAAAGTTCTTTGACATTGGTCTTGGAAATAATTTTTTTGAATATGACACCAAAGCACAAACAACAGAAGCAAAAGAGACAAGACAAAAAAAAAGTGACACGTTAGCAAATTAAAAAGCTTCTGCATAGCAAAACGTAAAGACAACCTACAGCTGCCTAACACCTAAAGCTGGATTTCTCACTTAATAGTCTGTGACTTCTTTGAGGCTCAGTTTCCTTATCTGTCAAACAGGGATAAAAACAGTCCTTCCTGAGGGTTTCTATAAGGGTTAATTAGCACATGGAACATGATAACACATACAAACCCCCTGGCACATAAGTGCTCAATAAATGTTTGCTATTGTTATTGCTAAAAAAAAAAAAAAGAACCTATGGAATGAGATAAAATATTTGCAAGCCATCTATTTGATAAGGGGTTAACATTCAAAATATAGAAGGAACTCATAAAAAATAGAAACCCCCCCAAATAATTTGATTAAAAATAGGCAGAGGACATAGACTTTTTCCCAAAGAAGACATACAAATGGCCATTAGGTACATGAAAAGATGCTCAACATCATTAATCATCAAGGAAATACAAATCAAAACTGCACTGAGATATCACCCCACACCTGTCAGAATGGCTGTTCTCAAAACAAAAAGACAACAAATACGTGCTGGAGAGGCTTTGGAGCAAAGTGAACCCTCCTGCACTGTTAGTGGGAAGGTAAACTGGTGCAGCCACTAAGGAGACCAGTACGGAGGTTTCTCAAAAATTAAAAATAAAACTGCCAAATGATCTAGCAATCCCACCTCTGGGTATGTATATGTATCTGAAAAAAAGGAAAGCAGTATCTTTTTTTTTTTCTCATTTATTTATTTACTTATTTTTTATACAGCAGGTTCTTATTAGTTATCTATTTTAGGCATATTAGTGTATCTATGTCAATCCGAATCTCCCACTTCATCCCACCACCATCACCCGACTCACCCTCCGCTTTCCCCCTTTGGTGTCCATACATTTGTTCTCTACATCTGGAAAATCACTATCTTGAAGATATATCTGCACCCCCATGTTAACTGCAGCATTACTTACAATAGCCAAGATAGCGAAACAACCTATGTTGTTTACTGACAATATTAACTATTGACAGATGAACTGAACGGATAAAGGATACGTACACAGTGGAAAATTATTCAGCCACAAAAAAGAAGGCATTATGCTAAGTGAAATAAATGAGACAGTAAGGTAAACACTGATATGTGTACGATAAACACACAGTACTTATATGTGGTATCTAAAGAAGCTGAACTCATAGAAACAGAGAGGAGAATGGTGGTTGCCAGAGGCTGGGGAGTGGGTGAAATGGGAAGATGTTGGTCATAGGGTACAAACTTCCAGCTAGAAGAGGTATAAGTTCTGGGGATCTAATATACCCTATGGTGACTGTAATTAATAGTACTGTATTATTTACTTGAAAGCTGTCAAGAGAGTAGATCTTAAATGTTATCCCCACACACACACACACACACACACACACACACACACACACACAGACACACACACACAGAGTAATTATACGAAACTAACCTTATGCAGTAATCATTTTACAATGTATCCGTGTATCAAATCATCCCACTGTACATCTCAAACTTACATATGGTATGTGTTAATATCTCAATAAGGGTGGAAAAAAGAACTAACCACACAGGCTATTTTTCAATCTTAGAGAACTACTGCTCATTTAATAAAAAGAATGACCCTGGCATAAATAAGCGAATTTCAGTTTAATCACAGTATTCTCATGTTTCTGAATTACCAACAGGTTCACACACATTTTCCTTATTTCCTTTGGCCCATTCAAGTTGAAAATACAAAGGAAGGCTGCATATTTATAGCCCAAATTTATCTGTGCCAAATTAGACGAAGGATAATCTGACCCATTCAAAGTCTTCAGCTCCCAGATCTTGTAGTGACTTGTTTTGACTACTGGCTGAGCCAGTTTGCAGATTGGTGCGTCACCATGAAACTTCTATTGGAACATTCTTCAGTTTGCAAATGCAAGTCATCTTGAGACCAAACAAATGGTCTTATTTATAGGCCTTCTCAAGGATCCAGCAGAAGTTGGGAAAATCCTGTATACTAGACCAGTCTGACTGCACAAAAGACTTGGCAAAAGATAGCAGTGTACCTCCTGTTAGGGGCTTATTGGTCAGCTTCCCTTCTTTTTAAGTACTAAAAATGCCCTACTTGAAAAAAGAAAAAACTTCCCCTCACCCACTTTGTAGAAAATACCCCTAAATAGTAAAATGCTATACAGTCCATTTCTTCACACCCTCCTGAACTTAGAGGCAAAATGGTAAATATCAGGTAGGCTGTTGGAATCTATACACGTGTCCTTAGTTTCAAATTTTCAGGAAAAATCTCAAATGTTAATTTACGAAGTTTATTTCAAAGTTATTTAAACATAAAATGCCCACAAATCTGTAGCTAAATCTCAGGACGAATTCACTGGCCCCACGAAATACCTGTGAGGCTTTCTGTAGTAACGTCTCACGTGTCTGTTATAATCTACAACTTTCTTTAGCTGTGGCTTTTGAATTTTGTTTGTACAAAATTCAGCTTGCTAATGCACTGAACACACGTTTAGACAATTGGCGTGTGTACATGCACACAATCGATTTGGGAAAAGTCGAGCCACTTTAAGCATTTTGTTTCTTAGCAGGGAATTAAGCCAGAGAAAAATGTTATTAAATATAAGGTACAATTCAGAGAGGAGTTTATAGATCACAGGAAAAAGCCTGAAAACCATGCAACACAGACAGCCCAGAGATGTTTGTGGCCATTATTAGGAAATTAACCTCTCTGTGAAGAAAATCGTTCCTTCCTTACCCAACAAGTCTTCTAAGGCAATTAGGCAATTAGAAGGCAGCTTTTAGATTTGTGTTTGAGATGACAAAAACCGAACATTTAGTCTGTGCCTGGCTTTCCTGTAATTCTCACTACAAAGGGTATTATAAACATAAAATCTGATTGTTTTTTCCCCTTTTGTTCTGATGATTCACATTTATAACTATTAAAGGTATCAGATACCAGCTTCCGTGTCTCCTTGAACTACTCTGTGAACACCATTAATCTCCCTTTTCAAAAAAGGTAAACAACTAAAAATTATTGTCATTTCTTAAATTTGCTTCTTAATCGCCTATGTCAGTGTGAATAGTTTCTTTTTTTCTTTTTCCTTTTTTTGCGGTACGCGGGCCTCTCACTGCTGTGGCCTCTCCCGTTGCGGGGCACAGGCTCCGGACGCGCAGGCTCAGCGGCCATGGCTCACGGGCCCAGCCGCTCCGCGGCATGTGGGATCTTCCAGGACCGGGGCACGAACCGGTGTCCCCTGCATCGGCAGGCGGACTCTCAACCACTGCGCCACCAGGGAAGCCCGAGTAGTTTCATTTTAAATAAATGAAACAAACCAATCTGAGTCTGTAAGACACATAGTACGGAGCTTGCCAAAAAAAACCAGGTGATAAAACACATCACAATTTCGACATCCAATGCACATTTATTTGTAATTGCCGAAATTGCTCTGAAATCATACTGGTAACGGGGGGTGTTATTTTACAAACTGAGGGAGAGATGTGCCGGAAAAATATAATTTGTCCAAGATCACAGGTTGTCACTCCATCAGTTAAAAAGCAAAAATATCCTTTGTGGGGTGTTCGATTTCTCATAGTTATTATTGAAAATTCTGTCAAA